GAGTTTGTGAAGGAGGAGTTAGAAATTTCCATCTCTTATTCCTTCCATACTTCAGGGATGAGGAGTAAGATACGTTAAATTCAACATTTTTATTTATTTATTTATGTTTTAAATTGTTGAAACTAAACAATTGTCGTGTTTTTTCTTAAAAAAATGAAGACGTCATGTGGCATCATGCATATAATGGACAGACTCGGTAATCTCTATCAAATTGTAACCTGTCACCTTGAAATGATGGATCGCCCACTAAGAGTGTTCTTTTAGTGCTCGTTGTCTGTCGTCGCAGCGACCTATAACGACTTTAATTATAATTTCTGAAGATAATTGGATGGAATTTTCTATGGCTGTTTCTACAAACATAAGCAATGACTTATCAATGACCTTTCTCTATTGATAGAACATTAGTTTTATCTAATTTTAAATTACTCGAAAAAAACTATATATATAAGTATATAGATGAAAGAAAGAAGTAAAAATTTTGTTGACGAGTTTTGTCCTCCCTTCTTTCGTTAAAGTTTAATTAATTAATACGTAAAACGTGCTTAAAAACGCGCTCTCTTAACTTTTACGCGAATTATCTCATTTTATTAATTTATTTTAGCGAAAATTTTATTTATTATAATAAAAATCTATACGGCTTTATAAACTTTTATTTATTTCTTAAAATGTTTAATAAATTTTAAAAACTTTTCCAAAATTTTGGCTTCGAAATTATCACACCGTAGATGTTTATTTCATGTTGCTCTATATACTTCTGCTGAGCGCTTAAGTGCGCTTTTTTTTGTCTTTTATGTACGAACTTCCCTCATTTTATCCACTTATGCGCCTTCCCCCTACATTATTCTAATAATTTTATGTCATTAGCGAAATTAATTTAAAGATTGATAATATAAATAAATGACTCTTGAATAAATATTGACTTCCTTTGTGAATAATGATTTCTTATTATTAATGGACTACTCTTTGTTCTTTTGTATGGTGAATATACTCATTAGCACCCATTTTGTTAGAACTATAGGGCATAGACCTATATTGATGATTTAAAAAACTTGATTTGTTGAGTGTCTCTGTTTTTTTTTTTATCGGCGGTTTTAACCCCTAAAGGTCGGGAACTACTGGTCCATTCGAAATTATAGACCTTGCTGAGGGGTTGATAGCGGGTTCCTTCACTTACCCCAAACCACAACTCGGCCACATGTCTGTAATGTTTCGATCGAATCTGGCTCTATCTGATGTTATTTTTAACGCCACGTCACGCAGAAATTGTAGAAAAAAAAAGCAGAAATTTTAAATTTTTATAGAGAAAAAAATGTTCTAGAATTAATTACTGTATCGACAGTCGTTATTGGTTTACCAAATCGTTTACATCACAAATCGACAAATTAGATGCAAAGATTTTTTTTAAAAAATCTTCAATTTCAATTTTTTATAGAAGAAAAACAATTCTAGAATTAATTACTGTTTTACGTGTATCATTGATTATTATTGGTTTATCAAAGCGTTTGCATCACACATCGACTAATTATATGCAGATATCGTAAAAAAATCAACAATTTAATATTTTTATAGATTAAAAAAATGTTCTAGAATTAATTAGTATATTTCTTTGTTATTTGTCTATCGAAGCACTTACCACACAAATCAACCAGTTATAAGCAGAAATTATTTCTAAAAAAATCAACAATTTCAAATTTTTCTAGAGAAATAATAATCTGGAATTAATTCTATTTACATTTCCGTGTATCGATGAATCTTATTGGTTCATTGAATCGTTTACGTCACAAATCAACCAATTAGATTGTCGAACTATTAATTTAAACGGATTCTTACAAATTTTGATAATTTTATTGAAAAAAATAGGGAGAAAAATATATATATCGCGTTTTATTTGCTTGAATGATCGATGTAGAAAATTGAGCTTATAACGTGGAAAGTTAAGCAATTTTTCGGGATATATAGTTTATTTTTCATTCTTGAATGATTTTCCAACTAAACGTTAAAATTGTGTGGATAAATGGGTGAAATTCTAAAAATATATACAACTTATATAAAAATAATTTATCTTATTATCTTATATTTTGTTATTCTAATTAGAAATAAATTCATTTGTGCGTAACAAACGTGTAATTTTTAAGGATAAGTACGCCAAATTGGAGTAATTATAACAAAATAGAACTCTTCGAAAGTCATTGATAATAATGGAAATGACATTTCTATACACGAATTATTAAATCCGAGGCCCGTACAACATAAATTTTCAGGTCTTGTTAGCCTAAAAAGCAGAAATTAGCAATTAAATCATAAGTAAAGCTTATCATGTATAAAGAAGATGCTGCTTCATCATCATATTAGTGTCAAAGGTTTTTATCTAGAACTATACAAAAATAAACATTTCTGTCATACATACACCTGTAAAAATGAACTTTTAATGCACTTCAAATGGATGTATAACACGCATTTAAACATTTCTCGTATTGTTTTCGATGTTATTCACACTCACATCTTCGTATTGATTAAAGATAAGGCTCATCCATCACGAAGATGCTTCGAATTTTGTAACAACGTCAACACATTTATCTATTATTCTTTCAAACGACGATGCTGTTTGACTTTTTCGAGCGTTAATTAGAAGATTTTTCGTGACTCTAAGCATTGTTACGAACGTAACTCGTCAGTTGGAAGGTTTCAAGATAAGGTTAATTCGAAGCGTGTGAGACGTTAGAACACGATTAAAAGTCAACTATTCGCCTCGAAAAAAAAATATAATAAGGCGCAAAACACTTCAACATCGTTTAATTAGCTCTCAATTTAGAGTAAGTAGTAACCATTAATTTATTCAGACAATATTTATGTTACAAATACATGCAGTTAGAGGCAACATATTCTTTAACATACTGGTAACAAGTACAAGCATCGGCAAGTTCTTAGAAGTGGCCCCGGGGATTCGACTGACATACCGAGGTAATTAAAGAGTGTTGGGCGGCCCCGACTGTCATGGACCGAAGGGACGTCTGACTCACGCACTCTCTAACGGTTCTCGCCCTGCAAGCCACGTGACTGAAGAGAGATAGAGACTGAGGGCGGTCGAGTCCGTTAATGGTGAGTTAGGAACTGCGAAAATATTGGGTATCAAAACACATTACTTGTGTGGCTGACCTTCTATAACAGCCAGTGCTTTAGAAGGATTAATATATATATTTCCTCCTCCCTAAAGGACTTTCCTATTTATAAATATACAGACCTATCACTGAAAGAATTTTAAGCATAAATAGAGAAATATTTTAATCAAGATTTTGACGTTTACTCGCCGATTTTCGCTTCTTAGATGGAAAGATTAAAACGTAAAGATGATCTCCTTATAAAATATTAAGTCACAGCAAAGAATTTTATGCAAGAAAAGGCTATTCACTTATTTTTCTTCTTGTATAGCCTAAACTTATAAAATGTCCAAAAACTTGCCGTAGTTAGCTCTTATACTATACGATTTGTTGTGAGTAGTCTGAATGAATCCAAGCTTATCATTCCCACGAACAGCCGATGTAACAACTGAATGGATTTTTGGTGGGCCAAGTAACTATATAAATAGCTTTAAATAGATTTCATAAATGTAGATGGACAGCTTGCTGGAAATGATTATACTAATGTCCCTATGAATGGAGATCAACCTACAATTTTAAAAGATTGCAAGTAGTTACATTCGACTTTTATATCAAAACCTGTTTATTTCCAGTATTTTTATTGGTTTGTTTATCCCTAAAATCGACAGTGAAAGATGGGTTACTATTTAATTTCTACGTATAACGAGAGCATTCTTCGAATATCTTGATCCATTTACAAGAATTGCTTCCGTCGCTCGTTCTGTATATTTATTTATAAAACGAGTGAATCTATCAAGAGAACCCTTTATCCCATCAAAACTCCTTGAAAGAACCATTCAACTTAAATTTCTCTAACTTTTTTCGCTTCTCAAAAATCTTAAAAGTCGGTAATTGAGCGCAACACCTCGAAGGGAAATCACGCAAGCCACTCTAGTAATGCAAAAGTGTCATGTTATCGTTAATCAAAAGATATTCGGCAAAGTAAAAATAAAAAAAAAATAAAAAACCGCCAAAGACACATAAGAAAGTCAACAAAAAGGGACAGAATGACGAATGGCACCATTCTGTGCCTTCCTATTGTTAGTTTTCTGTACGTCACAAGTGATTCGCTACTGCCGAGTGTAATTAGCTCTTCACGAATCGCGCCAGGTCACGCCAAAAAGGGGTGACCTTTCACCTCAGACAGGCGCCATTAGCCTCCCCCTTAATTATAGACTCTACCTTCGATTATTATTGCTACCGGGTTTTTGGATAGGCTTAAAAGCTTGTCTGACTCTAAGCTTAGCACTTAAGCTAAGGTGGAAATCTTTTTTTTTTTTTCTTTTTTTTTCTGTTACTCCCTCCGGCTTTTACTCTCTTAGTTCACCGATGTCATTTTTCAAATAAGTCCGCCTAATAAATTAACGATAAAATCTGTCGGATGAAAACGTTAATGGAGATGGGGAAAAGTTGTCAAATATTTTCTTGGCCATATTATTGACGTAAGAATTTAATTGCTCTTACTCTTGTCACTATGTCAATGATTAATCTCAAGGCGAATGTTGGGCGGCTCTGCTTAAAATAAGCGAAGGTCTTTCTTAATGTACACAATCCACTAAGTTAATTGCACGAACAATACCCCTTTGCGATTTTTCAAACTGAACAAAAACATCCCCCAACCCATTTATAAACTAATACTTAATTTTAAAAAGTCATCAAAACAAAAAGAATCAATTATTATTCATCAAAGTGTGTTTTAACCTCCCTCTTCTACCATTTTTACGTGTAATTTTTCTCTTAATTCATAACACCCGAACTGTGTAAGAATGGTTTATAAAGTTCAAAATAATCACCAAGTTTTTAATATATATTTTTTTAGTTATTTATTTTCGCAAATATCTATAAATTACAATGGGTGTAGAGCATAAATTATATACAAACTAATTAATTTTTTGTTTGTTTGTTCGCTGGCTCAAACTATTCGGATCGTTTAGGCCTCTTGAATGATGATTAATTTAATCGTATTTATCGTTTGAGGCGGTATAATTTGGTGCAATTTAAAAAAAAATTAAAATTAATTTTTTAAAGAATATTTTTGCTTATTTTGTCCATTAAAACTGTATTTTTGTACCGCTTAATAAGCTTAAAGTACTGATGATGTCGTTATAAATACGATTCGGTACACTTCATGGCACATAAGAGTTTAGCACGAAAACCATCTTGTGTACCTTTAAAACACCTTTAAGAGGCGTTTTCGTGTCATCGATCTAACGTCACAACATTAATTTTTGAAAAATAGTTTCGTGCTATTATCATTATGGCTCAAATATTTTCAAATTTTTCATACATAGATTCATTTTTCTTTACATCTTTGGACACTGTGATGATTCTTTTTAATCTACCAGCAGGACGGATCCTTGTTGTAATTTTTCTTCGTTTCTTCTAAAAGGATTTTTTTCAGGATGGATAACAACTTTAGGAACATTTTTACTGTGTTGCCTGTCCTTGATAGAAAGATGAAATTGAGGAATATGGTATTTGTCCAGGATAAACTGCTCTAGGAAGCACGGGACCGTTCGAACCACCACTCCTAGGGTACATATCTAACGAAGACGAACTTGTGCTGGAAGATGCACCTGCCGAATTAAGTCCAGATAACGAAGAGATTGTAGATAAATAATTACTATAACTGTATGGCCAGTACGGAGAGGGTCCAGGACCCCAGAGTCTAGGAAATCGCACGAGACCCACATTATCTCCTGGAAACACTTCAAGGCCCATCATAGCTTGTCGTTTCCATTTTGTCCTGGATAAAATTGGGGAAAAAGTAGTTTAATAACTCGGAAACATATCAAAATCAAGTTTTATAATTAGATCGTAATGTTTAAGATATCAATTTGAAATTAAAACTGTCAAAAAAATGTTATAATTATACAATAAGTTAACCTAATTTTGGCATAAATTTCCTGATTTATTGCTATTTTGTTACAACATTTCAGTATATTTGCAATTATATATAGGTCGACAGTAAGGTTTGGCCCTGTGTAAGATATTCATTAGTCCGATATCTGTCCAGTAATATTTTGAAATAAAATAAAAATAATAATCTTTCTACTTCCTCGTAGGTTGACAGCCGAATTAATTCTATAATTTTCGATTCTAAAAATGCAATGACTTTATATAAAACATTGTCTTTAAAATTACATAATGTATTCTAATTTTCTTGTTTTTCCATGCAGGAAGATATGTAACAACGCCCCGTTCCCTGTGACAAATTTATAAGTTCCCAATGATGTATAATTGGTTTGGATGACATAACGATGACTCTCTACGTCTATTGTAGTGAGTATTTAAAATAAAAATGTGTTTCCAGGTTGTCATGCTACTACTCAACGCCTAAAACATGCTTCACTTACTACGAATTAAATAGTTCGACCCCCCTTTAGTACTCGAATCCGTCACTAGATGGCGATATGGGTCACTGATGAATGCCTTAATATCGAATTAAGGTGCGGGAGTTTTCAGGGACGACCTGTTTATAGGCCTACACGTGCACACACCAGTGCAAGAGCCTAGCCTACTTTTTCGTATCTCTTGTGCTATTTTTGGTAATTGTTAAAGTCCTGTTTAATTAATTAGCAGCTTTTACAACTAAATTGAAGTAGGGACAGTCGCTGAGAGTTTGCTATGTGTTCCTATATAAAAGATAATAAATGAAGCACTGTAGTATTTATTAAGCTCTTAATAATGTCACATACGCTCCTATTTTAATAATTTTATCTGAATTTTTATGTATCAGAAGTTTATTAAATCGTTTGGCATACGTAAGGTAGTGGTTCTCTAGCCTATCGGCACACTCAAATTCTTAGTGACACACCATCGAACCAACGCCGTGTTTCGTATATGCATAAACGAAATAACGTTAAAATCTAAAGTTTTTTACATAAAAAACATACACAAATAACATTTAAAAGTTAAAATTTTTAAATGAATTTTTGAAATTCTCTGGTCTACCACTAAATAAACCATTTGATCATCAATTTCATCCTATCTTTAAAAACCACAACGCACATATCTTGCAAAGATGAGCGATTTGTAACCAGAACGTTGATTCTATTCTGTTTTAAATCTCTGAATCACAATATTAAATGCACAGAGGTGCCACAAATCGCTCTTTAATATTAACTAAAATTATGCCAGATCATAGTTTAACGTTCCTTCTAGCGAACAAAAAGCTTTATAATTCTTAAATCATATCTTACCTTCTATTTTGGTACCATGTTTTCACTTGAGTATCGGTAAGATTAAGTTTGGCCGCTAATTCCATCCTATCCTGAACACTCAGATACTTTTGACGTTCGAAACTCTTTTCTAGTGTCTAGTAAAAGATTTTTATAATTAATTAAGATTAAAATTAAACAAATTTTAATTAAATAATTGCTAATTAAGCTCACTTTTAATTGATGATCCGTAAAAGCTGTTCTGGCTTTCCTCGGCTTTTTACATTTTAGGGAGGGACTCTCGGATCGGCTCGACTGTTCGATATTCTCAACTTCGGAAGCTGGAAAAAAAAGGAGAGAAGAAAGATTTCCAGTTTAGAAAGCTGACTTCGGGCTATCTACGAAAATGATCTTAATATGAAGAAAAGTAGATGAATTATCTCTAATGGCTGAAGTACCCAAAAATCACTTGAACAAATTTCACTCTGTTAGCATCATTCGCACGCTATTTGGAAACAAAAGTAACCTATTTGGCTTGACAAATTATAAGCAACACGTACAACATCTCGGATAGAAGATTCGATTGCCTCAGATTACAGGGTTCCGAATGATCACGAGACATTGCAGTGGGTACAGAAGATAAAAGACTTTAATGAGTCTTAATCCTTTCGAACGAGAAACTAAAAAACAAAAAAAAATAAAGCTGCAACCTTCTCTACCCTTTTATTGTTCTCTAAAATATAAGAAAAAAGTAAACTGGAAGAGCTAGAGAGAGAGAAAGAGGACTCGTAAAAGTGGGCAATCACCTTTATTATTAAAGGGTTTCGGATACAATTTTGAAGATCTTACGGGTTTTAGAATGTAAAATATTTAATGTTTAAACAATTATTACGGCGAATTTTTAAATTAATGGTTTCTTTCATATCTATACAACTGTGTATACAGACAAGTGTGTAGAAAGCTGGGACCACCTGGCGCCTACGCTGTCTAAAGATTACAGGTAATGGGATCTGTGATTGAAGGGGATAGGGGGGGGTTAGAGGACTTCAAAGAAGCGGCTAGCGCACTTATTCTGACAAACCAGATACGCCAGTTCGCTTATTATCGAAATTATTTTTAAATTAAATATTTTAACAGTACAAAAAAACTACCAAAGCATTCGATGAACTGTCATTGTTCGCATTATAAGAACGTAAACCATTGAAAATTGAGAAAAATTAGTTTAATATTAAGCCATTTATAATATTTGCAAATATTTGAATGGGAATTTTTTTTACAATTTTGCTAAATTTGATGGTGAAGTGTTATTTTATTTCGATGTAAACCCACTCTTTGGAAAAAAAACAAGAAAAAATAAAGCTAATGTTTAATCCGAATTTATACGCGGATACCTTTCAGAAGTGAACTTTGCTTTGCATAGGGGTACTTGTTCTCATATTGAGATAATGCTAAACAGTATGGAAAGTTATGGAAATGAGAAGACTAAAAGCAACCTTAATTCCCCAGGCGATCTTTGTTGTGAGTGAAGTATCTTCTTCGAGTAGATCCCTTTCTTACATTTCCAACGCCTTTTACGATAGTTCCATAACTTTGACCTCTTCCACCCTATTCTAACCTTGGATGTGGTTTGACCTTCTTAATGGACTCTTCTATAAAAGAGAAACAGAGAAAACGGACTGGAAATCAAATCTCCAGACACGTAACCTCCCACACATAGTTCTTTCCATCTACATAGATGCCATCCTCCTGCATTAACATCAACATGCAAATCCTACTTCCAATGCTGAATGCATTTTGAAGAAATCTTTAGAGTTGAAGATACAGACATTTCAGAATTATGTTTCCATAATTTTCCATCTTATTTTCCGCCCGGAATAACAGTACCGAATCGTTTTTCTATCCAAGAAAGTAATTCCGGTTTAACTCTCTTTTTTTTTTTATTTTTTTCTTTAACTGAACTAACTCGAAAGATTAAATTTTCGATTTTCCTTTTTTTTTAAATTTTAAATAAATTCTGCTTTATAAATTATTATTTGCTTTAAATTAATAATTTTAACTGTTACGTGACGGGAAGTTCTCGCATTAAACCTAACGTTTACACACACGTTCAACGTGTACTGTCGGTAGATAAAAGCGAATATACTCTAAGAGAATCCCCCCAAAAAAAACCTCAAATTAACCCAATTAACAGCTTGGTTTATCACCATTAATTAATTAACACAAGATTTGATATTTGGTAAAGTAAAAGAGTACCGAATATCAGAGCAACTATAGAACTAAAGTGCTTTACTTCACTGCTTCGTAGAAGGGGCTTAATCTACTCAGACATTATGTAAATTGACAGTGGTCATGTTACGAGTAGAATTTTCCAGACCACATGACGAACACAATGCTTGGAAATTAGCGCATGTCTTTTCTCCCAGTGTGCTCGGCCATGTGTAACATCATGTATTGATTGCTCGCTTTATACTGTATATTCCCTACGCTGTCACGATTTAGATAAATTGGAAAGACGTATTTAAATATGCGTTTTATTTCATTTCTCCTTCAATTTGTTTGTTTTACTTTAATCTTTTATCTGCTTTCTAATTTTACTTCGTCCTTTTTACTTAGTAAAAAATGAGATAAAGTAAAAAGTGATCGCTAAAAGCGATAGATTCAAATAATAACTTCTCCGTTCACTACTATCTACCGATTTTTCTTACTTAAATTTATTCTTTCTTATATAATTTAGCTAATAAATAGATTTCATATGCCATTTTTTACATTAATTATGCATTATAGTTCTTTATTTACTCATTTATTTCACAAAAATAAGACAAAAAACCATTATTCCTCTCCTGATGCTGAGTATGTCTCTCTTGTTTTTACTTACAAAAATTACTTTAAACGTAAATTTGTCTCTAAATATATACATTTTCTTGTTTCTGCTTATAACAGAAGAGGATCTATAATTTTTATTACAAAATACAGTCGAATCTCCATCTTCTAACAACGACCGCCTCTTAACGGCGGCCATTTTTTCGGACACGTTGAACAAAAACGCATACGAAGTAATCTCCAAACGACGGAAATGTTTTGATCCCTCCAGTGACCGTTATGCACAAGTTTGACTGTATTTACGGTACTTTAGAAAGTATAGGTTCGAATTACGTAATATAGTCTTGGCCTGTAAAGTCTAAATTGGGATATAGTTGTATGTTTTATGCATAAATAAACTATAAACTAGATTTTTAAGTTACCATTGTAAGATATTCTAAAATTAGTAATGGTAAACTGCGAAGTTTTCCTAAAGAAATGACAAGACTACTCTAGGATTCTACAGTAGCATTAGGCTTTACAGATTGCATCTATCATTAACTCTGATGTCA